CTTCGTTTCTAGGGGGAACCAGCGTTTCGAATTTCAGAGGCCTTCTGAAATTTATGATTTCAAAATTTCGAAATTTCCGAAATTTTGTTAATTACGAATCGATTCGTTAATGGCGGACGCAATTGCGCAATGTCAGCGATTGCACAATAATAAATCTAAAACACAGACATGTGCTTTTCATCTTAAGAACAGACAAGCATCCCGAGCTCTGAGGATTACCTGGGAAGGAATCCCACTGGAGCATTGCAGCGCACCCAAATACCTGGGAGTCACTCTGGACCGTGCTCTTACCTACAAGAAGCATTGCCTGAACATCGAGCAAAAAGTGGGTGCTAGAAACAACATAATACGAAAGCTGACTGGCACAACCTGGGGACCACAACCAGACACAGTGAAGACATCTGCCCTTGCGCTTGGCTACTCTGTTGCTGAGTACACATGCCCAGTGTGGAACACATCTCACCATGTTACAACAGTGGATGTGGCCCTTAATGAGACATGCCGCATTATCACGGGGTGTCTGCGCCCTACACCACTGGAGAAATTACACTGCTTAGCCGGTATCGCACCACCTCACATCTGCCAGGAAGTAGCAGCCAATAGTGAAAGGACCAAGGCAGAGACATCTCCAGCTCATCCCTTGTTTGGGTATCAGCCAGCACGTCAATGACTTAAATCAAGAAATAGCTTCCTAAGATCTACAGAGACACTCGCTGGAACGCCTCAGCAAGCGAGAATCCAAAAGTGGCAGGCTCAAACCCAGAGTCTCAATGAATGGCTGATACCAAATGAGAGACTCCTTCCTGGGCACACAGAAGACTGGGCGACTTGGAAGGCACCACAAGATGCAGAGCCAACCTCAAGAAATGGGGCCACAAAGTGGAATCCATGACATGCGAGTGTGGAGAAGAGCAGACCACTGACCACCTGCTGCAATGCACCCTGAGCTCTGCTACATGCACAATGGAGGACCTTCCTGCAGCAACACCAGAGGCACTCCAAGTGGACAGATACTGGTCAAAGGACATTTAATCAACTACCAAGCTTGCAAACCTTGTGTTTTGTTTGTTTGTTTGTTTGTTTAATACAATACAACTGTTTGGTTCGCTCATGACAGGTGATTGTTCCATTGCGTCCTACTCTCCAGGGAAGCAGAAAGGAAGCCTGCTCCCTCCTCCGTAGGACTTCCCCTCACATGTTTATACATGGCTATCATGTCTCCTCTCAGCCTTCTCTTCTTCAGCATAAACATGCCCAATTCTTTAAGCCGCTCCTCATAGGGCTTGTTCTCCAGAACCTTGACGAGAAGGCTGAGAGGAGACATGATAGCCATGTATAAATATGTAAGGGGAAGTCCTAGGGAGGAGGGAGCAAGCTTCTTTCTTGTCCGCGCATTGGCAGCTGGAGCTGACAGAGGGAGCTCATCTGCACTCTCCCTGGATTCGAACCACCAACCTGTCCGTCTTCACTCCTACTGCCCTGGAGACTGTGGTGGAGGCTATATATTATATAATTATTGCACAATAATTATATATAATGATGTGCTTTATATATTATAGAATTATATATAATGCTATATCTTAAATACAATATAATATTATAGAATAATATAATATTAGTATAATATATAACAGTCCTCATTTTTTACCTCAGAATGACAGAAAAAGACAAAACAACGCCTTTCCCTTCAATTTCCGTCCTGAGGTGAATTTCCCTCCATTCTGCATGTCTTCCCCCTCATTGAGCATTTTCCCATCGTTTTCTCTCTTATTCTGAGGTAAACTATTGGAAATTGAGGGGAATTTACCTCAGGATTCAAAAGAAAGAAGTTTTCCTCTCCATTTTCCCTCCTTTTTGCTGTCGTTTTGAGGTGGAAAAAGAGAGAATTGTGGGAAGTTTACCTCAAGGGAAGAAGGAGCCCTCGGTGGCGCAATGGGTTAAACCCTTGTGCTGGCAGGAGTGAAGACTGACAGGTTGGTGGTTCGAATCCAGGGAGAGTGAGATGAGCTCCCTGTCAGCTCCAGCTCCCAATGCGCAGACAAGAAAGAAGCCTCCCACAAGGATGGTAAAACATCAAAACATCCGGGCAATGTTACCTGGGCAACGTCCTTGCAGACGGCCAATTCCCTCATATCAGAAGCAACTTGCAGGTTCTCAAGTCGCTCCTGACATGAAAAAAAAAAGTCGAGAAAAAACGGGAGAGATGTAGTATATGTAAGATAATATAATTATATACACATGTAAATATGTATGGGATTAAAACACTGGCAATATCTATATCTATATCTATATATCTATCTATATATATCTATAATAAAGAAGAGTGTTTGTTTGTATGGGAAGGAAGTGTGGAGGGCGGAAGTGTATGTGGCAGCTTTCTGATTGGCTGCCACTGTGGTGCTATTTGCATATGGTCTCTGATTGGGCAGCTTCAACAGGAGCCCCTGGTGGAGAAGAGGGTTCATGACAGAAACGGGGACATGACAGAAGGAAATTTGCATATGGTCTCTGATTGGCCAGCCTCAAATCCAAGATTCCGAGATGACAGAAAAGGAAAAGGCCAAAAAAGGGCTGGGTCAGAACACTCCCAATACAGACCGCAACTGGCACACAGAGCCCCCATCACCCACTCTACAACCTACTGCAGTTTGGAGGACGATGAACCATGGACGATGGGACTTGCAGTACCACCACTCACATTCTGAGACCGCTGTTAACCTCATCCAATGACTAATCAGGACCAAACTTCGCACATAGACCTCTCATGACCCACTTTACGTCCTGGTGTGGTTTGACCGAGAATGGACCATGGATTATGGGACTTGCAGTACCTTTGCTCAATTCTTGAGACCACTGCAACCCTCATCCAATTACCGATAAAGACCAAACTTGGCACACTGAGTCTCCATGACGCACTCTACATCCTGGTGCAGTTGCAGGAGGATGCACCATGGACGATGGGACTAGCAATACCCGCACTCCCTTCCTAAAACCATTATACCTGCCAACAATGATGGATCAGGACCACAATTTACACAGAGAACCTACTGACTTCCTGAAATACCTCACTCTACATCCTGGTGCGGTTTGGAAGAATTTGACAATGGATGATGGGACTTGCAGTCACTTCACTCACTTCCTGAGACCACTGAGACCCTTGCCAATGACTGATCAAGACCAAACTTGGCACAGAGAGTCCCCATGACCCACTCTACATCCTGGTGTACTTTCGAGGAGGACAGACCATGGATGATAGGACTTCAAGTACCTCCACTCTCTTCCCAAGACTGCTGCAACCCTCATTAATGTCCGAACTCAACCAAACTTGGCACAAAGAGCCACCATGACCTACTCTACATCCTACTGCGGTTTGGAGTAGGGCATACCATGGATGATGGGACTTGAAGTACCTCTACTCGCTTTCCGAGACTGCTGCGACCCTCAACAATGACTGAACGACACCAAACTTGGCACATAGACCTCTCATGACCCACTTTACGCCCTGGTGTGGTTTGACTGTGGATCGAGCATGGATTATGGGACTTGCAGTATCTTCGCTCAATTCCTGAGACCACTGCAACCATCATCCAATTTCCGATAAGGACCAAACTTGGCACACTGGGTCTCCATGATGCACTCTACATCCTGGTGCGGTTTGGAGGATGATGCACCATGGACGATGGGACTTGCAGTTCCTTCACTCACTTAGTGAAACTACTGAGACCCTCATCCAATGACTGATGAAGACCAAACTTGGCACACAGAACCCCCATTACCCACTTTCTCTAATAACCCGGGCAACGCCGGGTCCCCAAGCTAGTATATAATAAAGAAGAGTGTTTGTATCGGACAGAGGAATTGTGGAGGGAGGGCAGTGTATGTGGCAGCGTTCTGATTGGCTGCCGCTGTGGTGCTATTTGCATATGGTCTCTGATTGGGCAGCTTCAAGAGGAGCCCCTGGTGGAGAAGAGGGTTCATGGCAGCGGTAACAAACAGGGGGAGTTCGGCCGTCAGCCGACGCGTAAGAGTGGTCTTGGTGTGTGCAGACGTTAAGTTTATGCACATCAGTGTACGTGGGACGTGAGGGGTATCCGTGATAAGTCCCATGGCAAGCTCAGGGATGAAGGTGCAGGCATACTTTAATTTTTCACATCAGTGTAGGTGTTTATTTTCTATACACCCTGAAAGGTGAATGGAAACACATAAAACAAAACTGAAATCAGCAACAATACGCTATCCAGTTTTCACAGATGGCAAAAGCAAATAAGAGAATCTTGGAGCTGAAAGGAAGCTCGAGGGCCATCTAGTCCAACACTGTGCCATGCGACAAAGGCGTAACTGAAACATGTGTATCTTACAGACTTTTCTTTAGAAAAGGACTTCAATGCTTAACATCGCAAAATGAATAAATAATCTCATTTCAATTGACCAAGTGAAGCAGAACTATAGAACAAATCAAAGAACAGAGAAAAGACTAAGCGTGTCAAGATTCAGGAATGCCATCCTTCCATTTTTTGATCCCATTAACTGTTTTTTTTCTTCTTCCCTTCATAGTACTATCAAACATGAATCATCAGTTCAGTTCCAGCAAGTTCTAAAAACCTTTCTACTTAGACATGGTAAGTTGAAATCATGACATACCTGAAGTAAAGTCTATAAGACACATGTCTATGAAATAATACTCCTGCCATCTATTTAAGCATATCCAAACTGATGAACTACGCTACATAATATGTATTACAGAAGATCTCCATTGACACTGACTCTTCAAGAAAATTCCTGAAAATTCCCAAATTGCTCAGGCACAGCTTTCCCTCCTGGAGGACATGCAGGAGTCCATGAACATCCTCCTGGCCCAGCAGGAGAGGAAGAACACCGACCCCAGGTGTCTGGTGGAGCTTCCTCCAAAAGGTTCGGCCTCCTCTCCCGACCCCGGTAGCTACGATGGGTGCCTCCGTCTGGCTCCGAAGCCAATCCAGATCATACCCCGATCCCCTCTTTCTTATGCCACCGCAATGTACAGTCTCCCTATATGAGCATCGCCCCCAATAAATGCAGTTGTGGTCGGAAAAGAAAAATCCTGAATTGACAAAGTGTCACCCTACTACTGTGGGTATAGTGGTTTCAGTGCTGGCTTACGACTCTGGGAAACCAGGGTTTTAATCCCCATTTGGCTAAAACAACCCCTTCTGGATCAATCTTACCAAGAAAAACTCTATGCCTTAGGGTCACCACACCCTAAATGAAAATGATTTGAAAGCACCCAACAACAAATCACCACCCTGAGTCCCTTCGTTGAGATAAGCCGGGTTAGATAAAGTTTTACTATACTATTATTATTAAATCAAGGTCAGCTCTACTGGGAAGTTCATGATGGGCTGAACTGTAAGAAGCGCCTATAACTGTTAAGCGCCAATATTGGCTATAGCCACATGAGCCTTGAAGTTCTCCCATTGCTGGAGCCTAGAAGGCTGTGATTAGCACTTGCTCTTTAAATTCCTTCATAATGCCTAAAGGGTCACAAAAAGAGAATGCACAAGAGTGATACTACATCAGGTAGTCGCAGGTATTGCAGGGGAATTAAAACTGCGGGTACAAAAGAAGCAGAAGAAAGGCAAGCATGCCACGATTGCAATGTCTACCTAGGAAACAACACTGTTGGTAACTCAGAAGAGGGCTGCTATAAGAGCTTTGCCAAACTTGGCACTGATCAAGTGACAGTCATTCCCTGAGTCTTTGCAGGCTATGACTTGAATTCCTATAGTCTTAATTTCAACTATCTATGGCAGGGGTCCACAAACTTTTTAAACCAAGGGTCACAGTCCCTCAAACTGTTGGGAGGGCCATCTTATAATTTGAAAAAAAAATGAATGAATTTCTATGCACACTGCACATATCTTATTTGTAGTGCAAAAAACACTTAAATGCAATACAACAATTAAAATGAAGAACAATGTTAACAAATATAAACTGATTAGTATTTCAATGGGAAGTGTGGGCCTGCTTTTGGCTTGTGAGATGGGATTGTTGTTGTTGTTGTTGTGTGCTTTCAAGTTGTTTTAGACTTAGGTTGACCTTGGAGGGCCGTATCTGGCCCCCAGGCCTTAGTTTGAGGACCCCTGATCTATGGTATTTGCGTCCCTTTCTTTAGATGTGGAATCTTAGTAAAATACTTTGTGATTTGGATTGCAGTGAGTTTTCTAAGTTGTATGGCCATGTTCCAGAAGCATTCTCTCCTGACGTTTCACCCACATCTATGGTAGGCATCCTCAGAGGTTGTGAGGTCTGTTGGAAATGAGGCAAGTGCCTAGTTTCCAAGATGGCCAATTGCAACATTCATACTGCCTCAAACAGACAAGAGTTCTTTCTCCCACCATGGACATTCCACAGATATATAAACCTCACTTGCCTAGCTATATAAAAAGAAAGAGATGAACAAGGAACATATACCTGTTTCGTTTCCATAGGCTTTTTCTCTGGTGTCCGGATTTTATTCATTTCAGGTCCAGTGCCAGATTCATTTTTGCCTAAATATATAAAAAGCACAAAATATATACATAGAACAAAAAGAAATATCACCTATTTTCTGTGCACATCTTAAAGGATATCCCCCATAAACACAATTATGGGTTATTAAACAGAGACAGTGTTTTATCTTCTGCTGATGGACATTTGTAGCATATTCACCTTTTTAATGAAATTCTATAGCTTCTTCTGTTTAAACTATTAATCAGGAAGCAACGCCTCAATAGAAAACATTATATGAATTATAATATTGGATGGTGCAAGATTTCAGTACCTTGGACTGATAGTAAAGTAACAATTCTCAAAATTACAAATTTTCAATTGAAATTCTGTAAAGAAGAGGCAGATTATAGAAGTCAGGGCACCATTTTCTTATCATAAAATGTTTTTTTTTAATTTCAAACCCTAGAAATTAAAATAATACAGAGATAACTTTAAAGAACTACTCTTACTCATATTTTAAAATGCAAAGCACTTCTGTTTTATAAGATAATATAGGTGAGGAAGAACACTGAAACTTTTTTTTCAGAGTTGATACTTTTAAAAAGAGAAATCCAAGAAGGCCTTTAGAATCATGGGTAAATAATTAGATTATTAAAAAGTAACAAGGAATCATGGCAAAGCACGTACAAATACTTGTCATTAGCATCTGAAAATAGAGCAGTTTTTTAAATTTACATGATTGTACTCAAATATGAATAGCATCCTTTTTCTTTTTAATTGCCTGCTTTGAAGGATCAAATCTTGGCTTAATAAAGCAAGATATGCAAGAATCTCTTGGATGTTATGTCATTAATTTTTCCTTTGCACAAGCAGCAACACAAGATAACAGGACAAATGTATCCATAGCTTCCTTTTACATATGAAATGGGAAACTATGTTTAAGTGTCTTAAGTGAGTCCTAGTATGAAGATATGGTTTAAAGATGGCTGTCATATTTAAGCTTGTTTAGAAGCCCTGAGACCATAGTTCAGATGTAACAAGAGGATTATTAGCTGTAGCTCCATGGCTTCTTAATTAACTGCCTAGATCCCATATTGGGAGAAAGAAGGCATTTAATATATATATAAATAAGGTGAAAAGTGCCAATTAGACACATCTCAAGTTATTGAGCTAAAATTTGATTATCTCAAAGCAGTCATTGACGTCAGTAGTTGTTGTTCTATAAAACTACAGATCTAAAGAGAACATTATTTAAGACAAATATGCAGTGCCAAGGCACCATGATGTGTTTTTTAGTTTTTTATATAAAATTGGTGAAAAAGAAAAATAATTATTATTAATTATATAGTAATAAATTTTCCTGGTTAATTGGGAGCACTTCTCAATGGTCATGAATAATACAAAATATTATCCGAGACATGAGAAATTATACAGCTACGCAGAAAAATAAGAAAGCAAAGGCAAGGAAACAATTTCAATTGCTCATTCCAGTTATTATAAACTATGTAAACACACACACGTGTGGGGGGCGGGGTTGGAAAATTATCACATAATTTGTATTGTCGAAGGCTTTCATGGCTGGAATCACTAGGTTCTTGTGGGTTTTTTCGGGCTATAGAGCCATGTTCTAGAGGCATTTCTCCTGACGTTTCGCCTGCATCTATGGCAAGCTTCCTCAGAGGTTGTGAGGTCTGTTGGAAGTAGGAAAAATTTTTCCTACTTCCAACAGACCTCACAACCTCTGAGGAAGCTTGCCATAGATGCAGGCGAAACGTCAGGAGAAATGCCTCTAGAACATGGCTCTATAGCCCGAAAAAACCCACAAGAACCTTATCACATAATTTATTGTAAAAGAAAGATATATAAACAGTTACACACTACTCAGCCAATGCCATCCACTCTTGCTTTTAGTAATATATAGCAGCTCCATATTGCCTTAGCTACAAGGTATATGATATCAATGAAAGAAGGACATTACAGATTGTTTTGCTCTTGTATCACCAGAAAATGACCAATTACTGTGCCAAGTTTATTCCTCTCCAGAAAATACTGGCAAACCAGACAAAGTGGGCCCCAAGCATGCCAAACTATAAAGTCCACCTAAATTGAGTCCTCACAGGGAGAAAGGGTATAATAATTATTATTATTATTATTTGAAACACAACAAGATGAGTCCACAGCAGACAAGATCACTCTAGACAAGATCATTGGATCACACGTCGGACATAATAACAATAACAATAATAATAATAATAATATTGTCAGATGATTCTTATTTTACAAATTAAATCTAAGTTGTTTGAAAGTAAATTTTAAAAGAATATATATTAAAGATATTTAGCAGTTTTTTTTTATTGGAAAACCCTAATAGCTATACTTTTCTTCAGAGACATAGGAGTTTATGTTCAGTGAATTTCACAAGATTGCACTTATTCAGTTCCACTGTTAAAAATTTAGGAAACGGAACTTCCCTATCCAATTTGTTTCCTGACATATTCTACTCTCTTCCACCACAGGGATTACAATGGCAGAAATTAAGGATGGCATGTCATATTTGCTTCTGGAATTATCTCAGCTTTCATGAATTTAAATAAGTTTCTTCATGCGGCTATATCCATGAACTAGTTAAGACTTCAATTAAGTTTTGAATAACAACATCGTCTGGCATTGTACTGTGACAACTCATATATCTACAATGTTGGGAAACACAGGAAGCTTCTCATATATGCACCCTGGCACTTCAAGCTCTCAACACACAGATAACTCTGCTTTTCAGGGAGTTAATGAGGCAGATTTTGGAGCTGCATAGTTTATGGGAAGTCATTCTAACAGCACAAATGGAATCAAAGCAATTTCAATTTTGATACAGTAGTCAGTCCTTCAACATTAAAAAGCTGACTTGCTCTGAAATAGATTTTATGCTAATGATATTATGGAGCTCTATGAGTATTGTTTCATAAGGATCCATCAGATTTGTTTTCCAATTTAAGCCAAAGCCTACTTATTGAAAGGCAATGGAGCTACCAATATCAATGCGGTAAGTACAATTTGTCGTTTTTATTTAAAAATTGTTACTTTATGTAACAATGAAGCTATTATGGGGTGCACATGGCCCAAAGGACAGCTATATGTGCAAAGGCAATTCTTTTCTCTTCCAGTATTAGGGAATATCCTGCATGCCCAGGATCCTATGACCCAGATGACGTATTCTCCAATTCAAAATCAGAAAGTCAAACAAACTATGCAGGCATAACCCTTACTTTTTTCTTGTATCTATGCAGATATCAGGTGCTGTAGGTTATATTTCAGAGGAAGGAACTGGCAAAATCATCTCTTGAGTATTCCTTGCCTAAGAAAACCCTATTATGGGATCACCATCAGTCCACAGGTAAATTAAAGGCACATACCCATATTTCTGAGAAAAGGATGCTTTGAACTTCAACCTTGGGTAGTTGGTAATCACTGGGTCTTGTCTACCAGAGGTAATTTTTCTATCTTTTTATTTATTATTATTTATTTAAAACATTTATACCCTGTTCTTCTCAACCTCCATGGAGAGACTCAGAACGGCTTCCAAACAGGCAACAATTGATGCCAAACATAAAATAAAACACATAATAAATACATCCAAAAATTAAAATGATTCTAAAAATACATTAAGAACCCACTCGCCAGATTAAAATCACCAGAATTAAAATTGTCATCCAAAGCGGTCCAAGTCCGGTCCAATAAATCTTGTCTTTTCCAGAAAACAAACTATTATTTCACCTTTCCATGTTATCAGTGGGAAAGGGATCTAGCTAACTTGTGGATGCATTATTTTTTCCTTAAAATAATCCACATCATCTTAGTATTTATTTATTCTTTTGTCTATACAAGGAGTATCGCAGTTTCTGGACAAACAGTAGTCGCTTCCTGCTGAGCATATCAATCTTTTTTTAACTCAGAGAAATGACAGGAAGACGTATTTACATGTCCATGTTTTTGTCTGACAGCTCTATAAAACTTCCATCCAAAACATTGCTTCTTTCAATAATGAAGCAAAACATAATATACTATTGCTCTACTCTGTATGCCAGTGGAGGACATAGAGAATAACCTCATCTTCTCAATAAAGAATATGCCAGCGACAGAACAAAGAGAGCTGGGAGATTAAGAAAGGGTGTCTAAATTATTGCAACCAAGAAGCATGGAACATGACATGTTCCAGCTAGCTTTCTCATAATACAGTGTACTGATTTTCAATAGACAAAACAAATAAATTACATTTCTGAACCATGCCAGGAATATGTAGAGATATAACCACTCACTGGTACGATTTTGTTCAAGTTGTTCTTTGTCTGAATTCTGCAGCTGCTGCTGTCCTATACTGACTGGTGAGTGATGTCCAAGACCATAGGGTATAGGAGATCCACGTCCATGGGCTTGTAACAAATTCACATTATATGCCATGGCTGCTTGATGAGTAATGATTCGAGGATCAACAGCAAACCTACTCTGATAGCCTGTCCATGGGACCTATGTAACAAAAAATATGAACAATGTTTACAGTTTGTTAAGTATGCACATTTAAAAAAAATGCAGTGCCAGTGAAAACAGAATTGACAGAATTCTGCAAGGCCACAAAACAATGAAGTGTAAAAAACATGGAGGAGTGATGATACTTTCAGAAACAAAGAATATTAGTATACAAAAGGGTTTCAAAGTTAGACATTCACTGATGAACTGAGCAAAATACATCATCCCTCAGCCTAGAATACTTTACTGGATTGTTGTGAGATTAATAAGGTACAAATGATAAAACTCTTCATATACCAGTATGAGCATTATCAAAACTATCTCAAAATGTTTAAGAACAGGAAAGCTTATAAAATCAGGGATATAAATAGCATTATGACAGTGGGAATCCACTTGTCTATAAAAAGGCTAGAAATCATTAGTGCAAGAAGATGAATCAAAAACAGGCAGGGGGGCAGGTAAAGACACAACTTGGTTTCAGGTTTCACCATGTTGCTTTCTGAGAAGACAACTTAATATATTTCCAAAATGAATTGAGGTTGTTTCTACTACAGAAACCAAAGAACAGCATGTGTGTTACTAGAAAAATATAAAGCACAATAGTAAAAGGAGGGTAAAAGGAACAGATGTTTCAATACGTCTTTTCATCATTTTAATGTTTCAATTTCAAGATAGTCTACTGAATTTACAAAGAAACATGACAGAAAAGTATGCGGATTAATGAATCCACTCACACTCCAGGATTAGGGCCTAAGGTTAAATATTTAAGGAAAGCCATAACATTAAATAATGAGAAATTACACTGAACGTCATCATAGGCAGTCAACTTTTTATGGTTAGACACATCCTTACATGACTATGATAAAGATAACTTTTTAGTAATTGCAATGCTTCTGTAGCATAGAATATGTATCTCTTAAGGGAAACAATTTACCTCTTGAATGTCACAAAGACAAAAATTGCTACACTTGAAATATTCTGATGTTCCTTCTACAACAAAAAATATATACTCCACATGTCTTTACTATACTGGTAGAATAGAGAAGGAAAGAAGAACATGGGAACGTTCCAATTAATTAAAAAGTTCATATTAGAAAAATTAATTTTTCTTTTTCCATAAGTAATTATTGTTCATGTCAAACTATTAAATTGTCGCATGGAAGTGTGACATATCATTGTTAGCCATGTAAAAAAAATATGAACCAGTTTAAAAAAACAACACTAAATCAATGGGTTGTTTTTTTTAAAAAAATCAGTAAATGCAGGACAAGTCTTATATCTCTGTCCCATTGAACAAATGCCACTTAAATGCCTATATCCCTACCAACTCCACTTATCATAACACAATCAAGGATATCCTTGCTGGCACTTTTCTTCTATTGAGCCTTCTCTGCGGGTAAATAGAAAATAATTTTTTGCACTGCAAGCCCCCCCCCCCTTTTATTCTATCCTGGTACCCCTTCCCTCTACACCCAGGATGGACAACATGTGGCCCGCAAGGAGGTCTCCCAGACCCCACAGTCATGAGACAGCATTAAAATGTAATGCTTTAAAGTAAATCAGTGCATATATGGTTTTATCTTTTTAAATCTGTTACCTTGTTTCAACTTGTTGCATTATGTTTTAGCCTGTCTTATTCTTTAATGCTTTTAAATTTGAAATTGTTTTAGCTAGTCCATGCTGCTGGACTTGCACGGCACCATGATATAGGTTGGAAATTTATGAGCACTGACAACCTGGAAGGTAGTGCAATTTTCTAACGTTTGAGAGGGGAATGGGGCTTGTACTGAGCCCACTCCTCCTTTACATCATGCAGCTTGGCAGCTTGGCTCCAGGGAGCAATCCAACTCTGAGAGATCAATTTCTGGAAAAATCAGCCCTATTATTATATTTATTATTATTATTATTATTATTATTATTATTATTATTATTATTATTATTATTAATGCCCCACTTTAGAGATACAATATTTTTCATTCATTGAGCCACCATAAGGTTTTTCTTCAAAGCAAATAGCTTTTCCTAGACTAATTTAGCAAGTCACATATGAATTATAGCACACATGGGCAAACTTCGGCCATCCAGGTGTTTTGGACTTCAGCTCCCACAATTTCTAACAGCTGGTAAAATGGTTTGGATTTCTGGGAGCTGAAGTCCAAAGCATGTGGATTTTGCCCATGCCTGGATTATAGGGTAGTTTATCCAATGTTAGTAAGCATGGGATGCCTTGACTCCCTATTTAAATGTACTGAGGTGAGGTCTAGTATTTCATCGGGACAGTTCTATTCATGAAACAAAACTACTTTGTGTCCACCCCTGGCAAACCTTACCCCAAATATGTTCCCAAAAAATGCCCCTATCATGTTTAGGAACATGTTTAGGAATGTGCTAGAGACAGAGGGCAGTTCCAGAGAGGAAGGGATGTCTAATTTGCTGGTGAATAGCCTTAGGTAGAATCATATGTTTTATATGTGTACAGATTTTTTTCTTCAAAAAATGTTTGGGCCCTTTGTTAACTATGGTTAGTATAGATGGGAAAATGTTTGGAATTCATACCATTGAACAAATTCCAAAAAAGTATTGGGTAGTTCATTGGCACCGGTGGTAAAAAAAAAAAAATGGAGGGTTTCTAGAAGGGAGATATTGCTTGTGGAGTTATTTTTTTTTTTTACTTTTTTAATGGGATTAACAAATGGACATTTAATAACTGTAGTATTTAATTCTATTTTAATATTTATATTTCGCTGGTTTTTAAATTGTTTTAAGGTTGTGAGCTGCTTTCGGTCTGAGGGAAAAGTGGGATAGAAATAAATAGAAGGAAGAGAAGAAGGAAGAGGAGCAGCGGCAGAAGTAACAACAGCATATCTCCCATGAACAAGTACTCAACTTAAGTTCCAAATGTTTGAATAAAGGTTTATATGCCTTATAATAAAAAGGTATCAGAGTCTAAGTCAACCTATCCTCTCTTAGCAAGAAGTTTCAGTGTCTGGGATCCATCCAAAAAATTAGAGAACAATAGGGTTGGAAAGAATTCAAGAAGAGTCATAAAGGCATAAAATCCACAGCAGGAGTATGCCTAATAGTGGGCCATTCAATATTTGGGTTTCTTTTTTTGTGTCAAGAGTGACTTGAGAAACTGCAAGTCGCTTCTGGCGTGAGCGAATTGGCTGTCTGCAAAGACATTGCCCAGGGGACGCCTGGATGTTTTACCATCCTGTGGGGGGCTTCTCTCATGTCCCCGCATGTGAAGCTGGAGCTGACAGGCAGAAGCTCACTCTGCTCCCTGGATTCGAACTGCCGATTTTTTGGTCAGCAGTCCTGCCGGCACAAGAGTTTAACCCATTGCACCATTGGGGGCTCCAGCTCTTAAATCTTTGGTTAAGACACTCCAACTAGAGAAAATTCTTCCATTTTCCAAGGAAGTCCCTTCTATTATATACACATTCAGCATGTCTTAAAGGCTGAAAGCAATAGGGAAACCCCAAAACAATCTTAAAATCAAATCAGGTTCATAAGATAAAAAAAACAATGAAAGGGATCTAAAGTTTTAGGGATCTAAAGTTATAGAGACAAATTAATTACTCATGAATCCATTTTAACAAAGGATTCATATGATCCCTGTACATGGCCTCACTCAATACTCCAGATGCATCATTTTGGACAAGTTGAAGTGTTACAACTACCCTCGGCCAAAATGATAGAAAACACTTTTTACCAATGATTTCTTTTCAATGTTTTTTTTTAGTTTAAATAAACTACCTAAAACAATCATTATGTTGTTTTCAAAACAGCCCCTTTACACCAATTTAAACATTTCAGACTAATCTGGTGGACTTTAGCTTTGAGCCATCTGGTTCCTGAGATAAAAATTTGTATAATCACAAACAATTGTGCATATATTTCTTTTTATAACATCTCATTAACTATAAAGGATCAGGTAATAATTACATATAAGCTTATTCCCCACAGGAATAAAAATAGCTTTTCTTACATTACAATTATATGAGTAAACAAGTATTTACATTATTTGGGTATGTTAACAGAAAGCAAGCCATCATTACAAAGATACAGCTGCTAAGCAACATGTTTCATTTCACTGTATCCATTAAATTATGCCTCTTGGTAACCTAATTAGTAAAAAAAAAGTTTTTAGAAAACCTCTAAAATAAATGGAAGCCAAAGGTTTCACTACATTAGCAAAAAAGGTGCCATATGGACTGAATGGGAATAACTCCAAGTAGATGTTAGTAAGATAAGTCCAAAAATAAAACAAAATGGTGATATATAAGAATATCAAATTTATCAGCCTCGATATACTGATCCCTTCTGAAATTAGTGTTTTGTAAACAGTGTGCCAGACCTTTCTGTGAGGTCATGGAAAGCCTAGGGAATGAGATCACAAATGTGAAAAAGTGGGAAATGTCACAAGGGCTGGGTCCCATTAATACCCTTAATATAGAAAGATGAAACAGGAACTGAATGTTTTAACAGGATCAACTGAGGTAAAGCTGGGTGCTAAATTAGTGGAAAATGCATCAGACCACACACGATTAATTCCAGTGGTTGACATGGTAATCTACAATAAGAAAGAACACAACTAAATGCTAAAAAGTGTCTACTGTGGAATGAAAGAAGGACATCCTAACAAACATACATGCACTGGAAGACACTTACCATATATATTCGAGTATAAGCCTAGTTTTTCAGCCCCCTTTTTAGGCTGAAAAAAATCCCCTCTGCTTATACTCGAGTCAAGGTTATTTATTATTTGCTATTAGTATTATTTTTATTACATTTATTATTTTTCTCTATTGTTAGTACATTTACATTATTTTACTGTATTATATTATTTATTGCATTTATTATTTTACTCTATTGTTATTACTGCATTTATTACTTTATTATTATTACTATTATTATTAAATTTCCATTATTTACTCTATTATTATTTTTATTATCTGTTATTACATTTATTATTTTATTCTATCATTATAGGTAATAGGTAAGCACATTTACATTGAAGGAGGTTAGAATAATGTTGGAAACAGAGTTGGGCAGTCTTATCTTAAATTACAGTTTTGTGTAAATACTCAAAAACATTTAATCTACCGACGATTACCAGTAGAAGCTACATTTCTCACCCTCAGCTTATACTCGAGTCAATACATTTTTCCAGGTTTTGTGGTAAAATTAGGTCCCTCGGCTCATATTCGGGTCAGCTTATACTCGAGTATATATGGTATTTTAAATTTTACGAGGTAAGATTTAACCTTTAAATAAATATCCTGTGTATACATTACCCTAAACTAATTATTATTACCTTATTCAGCCCATAACCTGACTGTTAATGATCCTTAGCAATTGGGCAGGATCCACTGCAATGGCTGACCACTGTCAACAAGTGTTTGAATAAACTGCAATATTGCTGTAAAAGTAAACTTTCTTTCTTCCTGTTTCTGAAAGGATGTTCTATGGAAAGGGCTATGGAGGGCTTTATAATACAGAAGAGAATTTGGCAGAGAGAGTCAATTTTGGCAACAACTGGGGTGCTAGGGGAAAATTGTTCAAGGACATCTGTTTTCAGATATCTCCAAGGAACCGTTGTGAGTTGTGCGATGGCCAATGCACTAAACCATTACCAGCATGTTGCCCAGTTCCCTGCAGTCGCTTCCATCCCTTCCCAAAGGTCCCAACAGGCGGAGCACCCGCTTGAGGTAAATAAGGCCAGAGAGAGAGAGGCGGAGAGAGGCAGAAAAAGACGGGAAAGGCTTTTCTAGGTATCTCCTCCAAAAGAGGGCCCCACTGGGAACTCATTTTCCCAGCAGCACTTTGCAATGAAGGAGCCTCTGTGCTTCCTCCAAGGGCATCATGGGAACTGAGGTTTTTCTCTGTTTCTTTCTCAGCCAATTAGAGACCTAGTTGACTGTATCAATTCTCCTTCCCTCTTGTGGCACACACTGGTTGGGACTTCAATTCCCAGGACCCCCTCTTGTGTGTGTGTGTGTGTGTGTTTTTAAAAAATGTTATGGTAAAAACCTTTTTAAAATTCCCAAACACCAGTGGATTGAAACATTCTAAAACTTGGCAGTCATAAATATGACCTACAAGTGAGGCAAGTTTCATCCTGATAGGCCTAAAAATGGCAAAGAAACGAGTCTCTAAAGTCTCCACATTGGCACCAATGGACCAAATCGAAACAAAAATGGCACCCCTCTCCAGATTTTGGGAATTTCTTGGGAAATGGAACTTTGGGGGGGGGGGGGAGGAAGAGAGAGAGAGCTGAAAATGATATAGTTTTTGGGCGTTATGCACATTTCTCTACCCTAGCGTTTCCCAATCTTCCCCTAAGAAAGAAGGAGAAATGCTCACATTTTAAGTATAGCAATAAGAAATGGTTTCATGGTGAAGAGGCTGCCATTAGGTAGAAATGTATACTTACTGGCAAAGGCACAGACATGACCATATTTCCTCCATAAACGGCAGGAACATAAAGAATGCTTGTCCCAGTATGGGGATCTATTCTTTGAACAGGACTAGGTGATTTTCCAAGGTTGGGAAGAGGCCCAGGAGGAGGAGGAGGTGGTGGTGGTGGTGGAGGTGGAGGAGGAGGAGGCGGTGGTGGAGGTGGAGGTGTGTATGCTCTGATAGGATTTCCAATTAAGACAGAAGGATTAGGCTGAACTGGAAAATAAACAAGAAAACCAAAAAACGGTGTGAAAGTCATTGTATGACAGTCTTAAACTCCACAGTAAAACTCTTATTTTCTAAACACTTCACACAGTAAAATGATTAAAAATGAGATTCTGTCTGAAACAAAATCAACATGTCAATGTGGTCTATATTTCCTCATATGTATAAGGAGCACTATTCCATTATTCCACTATTATATATAGCAGGCTTTTACAATAAAGCCTTACTTAGATCACCAGCAGATAACATGTGGCACATTAAATGTCGGCCTATAATTCGCATTCACTCTAAATAACATAGCTTATGGTGAGGGATAATGAGAGTAACTGTTGCAAAATTAATTCATCTTCCACCTTCATCCTACCAAAATGGACTCAAAGCAACTTGCAAATTAACATATGTACAATACATCAAAACCCATAGAAAAGATGAACAGTAAAATAGATTTCCAAAGCTTAGGAGTAATTACCGAAAAGGCCCTATCTTGTGTTTCTACCGGCCATAGCTTTATAGGTGATAGAGCTCAGAAAATTGCACCTTCTGACAATCTAAGGCTCCAGCTCAAATGAGGATGTAAACTGGACTGAAGATGTATAGTGCTTTATAGATCATAACCAGCACTGTAGGGATTCTGTACAAAATACATTGTATGATTCCTGTAATCAGCAGTACTTAACTGAGGTTCTTCGTACCAACAGAAATTTCTGAACACTTTTCAGGTACACCCAAATAAAGCACTTTGCAACAATCAAAATAGAATGTAACTATAGCATATATAATCATCAGATCTAGGATCACCACCACTAGCACATTAATTTTATGTGAGCAGTAATGAACTCCTTGCCACTGCAGAACTCTTGGCATCCCAAATCAAGGCTGAGTACACCCAAACTGCAAAACTTTATCTTCATGGGAAGTGCACCCCAACCAAAACAGTTTGAATCCCTATCCTCTGGTATACTTTGCGACACCCGACAAATTAAGCGCATTTATGTCTTTAGTTTGATAGCTGTCATTCAGTGCATTGCTGATACCAGACACCAGTTTAGAACCAAAATATCTTCTTTGGAGTTTGGCGAAAAGAGAAACAGAGTTCAGTATTATCAGCATACTTAGGCTTCTGGGCAACCTTTCCCAGTTGTCTGTTGAGTAACAAAACAGAACCCCAAGGGACAGCATAAGCCACTAGTTAAAAAGCAGAACAAGGATTCTCCAGCATTGCCTTTTGGTCATCCCCTTTCCAGCAGAAGCAAAGCCAACATAAAACAATATCTCCAATTCTCATCCCAGAGAGCTCGTTCAGTTGATTGTATTAAAAACTGGACTGAGAGGTCCGGCAGAACTAACAGGAAAATATTTATCAATCAAATTTCCAGTACAGGTCATCCTGTACGATCAGAGATGTTTCCATCTCATAACCAATCATGAAGACAGACTGAAATGCATCTAGACAACCCATCTCATTGAGGAACCCTAGAGCAGTGGTTCTCAACCTGTGGGTCCCCAGATGTTCTAGCCTACAACTCCCAGAAATCCCAGCCAGTTTACCAGCTGTTAGGATTTCTGGGAGTTGAAGGACAAAACATCTGGGAACCCACAGGTTGAGAACCATTGCCTTAGAGGAATGAGGCAACTATACAATCAAATACTTTGTCCAAATATAGAACTTATAAATAACAGAATGAGTCAAGGAATGCTTTTTCAACAAAGTCATTACAACTGCCTCATTTGGATGTTCTGGATGTTCTGGATGTTCCTACACTGATGTAAAAAGGCACTGACTACCTCCCTTACCCACTTGATCAATCCTTCTCTGTCCTATATAATAACCTGAGAAGGGCAATTTCTTTGTCGTGAAAACCCATTGCTTACTTTCATTGAGAAAGTAAGCAAATCTCAAATCAGTCATCAGATCTGATTTGCATCAACAATAAATACATTGCTTGACACTTACCAATTCCGTCATTCTGGAAATGGTCATTCTGGTTATGATGATGGCCTTTCACCTTTTAAAAAGAAGTGAACCAGAGTTAAAGAAATACAACTGGCATATTTATTTAATATCAAGTGAGGCTAAATAAACTCAAGAATAGCATAGATGTTCTTCTTAATAGAACTCATTTCTCATTTAATTGTGTTGGCCACACCATCAAAAATTCCTAGCTACTGACCTTTCCCCTTGTTTACACCCAACATTCTGTGCTGTTATGCAATTATGACTTTTAGCATTAAAAGGCAATAACCAGGGAGAAGCGGAAAGTAGTCAGGAAAATTAAGGCCTTCTTGAGGCCTGTTTTTCAATATGTTGTTAGGCACTAAATTGTAGAAATCACTGATGTTTAAGAACATAGCTTCCTCCCAAGGAAAAGATCTATGCAGTTTTCCAAAGTTGCACCACATTAATCTGTGGTCTGTTTACAGACAGGTATAAATACTGGTGAATATATAAAATGGATATATTAAAATGGATATATAAAATTGATTAAGATAAATTCCCTACTGTTTTAACTAACTATATCCAGAAGATACAAAATTGCCTTCTAAAGTTTATAAGCAAAGAAAACAAATGATATATCAAGTCTAGAATAAAATATTCTTTAATCTTGAATCTTCGTATCTTTTATATTTTTACATGTACATAAGAGAGAAGCCCTCAAACTTGCTTTTGTCATTTATCATATTTGCTTTAAAATAGGCATTGAAATTTAAGCAGGCAGTCTTTGAACAAAAGGGTCTGCAAAGTTGTCTTGTTCATATCTTTTACCTGACCCTAACCTAACACTGTACCATCAGAAAAAGGGGAGGTAATAATATTTTCAACCTTCTTTTTTCCTCTTGCAACGCCATTTTGTTCTTTAAAATAGTTTTGTGGAGTTCAATGCCTGTAGTCACTCGTTGATTTCTAGATCAAGCGGACTGGTATTAAAAGTTATAAAAGAAATGTTTTTTAACTCCAATCTGTCAAAGCTTTAGTTGATAACATTAAACTAGATTCATTCTGGCTTTGCTGATAAACAGCTACCCAAAAAAAATATTTTAAGGTAACTTCTTTTTGCATTTCTTATTAGAAGAACTGCATTCACTTTAGCAATGTCTTTATAAATAGGCCACATTACTTTTTTCCCCTGGCACCTGTCTGATACCTCACCGTGACAATCATCAAGGAATTAGCTTGTATCCAAAGGTATGTTTCCAGCAACAAAGAAGTGGGAACTCAGAGCCTACTATTATTTCATAATCCCCCTCTTTCCTCTTGAAAAGGCAACCAAAATCTGTCACTTTACCTCACAGGGAAAAGTAAGATTAATATAACAGCTTCCATGGTAGCTGTCACTTCACAGTTAACTAGACATATTGAAATCGCAGTTTCTGGATAATTTGTGATGTCTTCACTTTCCCCAGGTATAGAGAGCCAGACTGAGCCATTACCTTGCTTAGTGCTCCTTGAGATAATGGCTCAATTGAAAGCAATAGGTTGAAGGCAGCCCTGGAGCCTTTAAATGGTGCCTCCAGAAGGATAAATTCCTTCCTCACATTTATGACAGCTCGGTGAGAACATACATATTTGTTGGGGGGGGGGTGTGTGGAAAAGAGAGGGATTATGAAATAGTAGGCTCTGAGTTCCTAGTTCTCTGTTGCTGGAAACATACCTTATGTTGCAGGTTGTTTGTGCATTAGAAAGGGCTGTCGACCTTTGCAGCCCGAAAGACAGTTGCATCTGTCAAGTAGGAAATTTAGGTACCGCTTATGCGAGGCTAATTTACAATGCCATAAAAATCTCCAACAAGCATGCAAAGAATGAGGAAGTACTTCATCAGTGTCACAAATCGACGGTGAAGCGACAGCTCCCCTGGTGGCCAGAATACCCCATGAAAAAGCTGGAATGTTAAATAGCCTCTGTGTGTCTGTCTATATATGTTGTGTGTTTATGGCATTGAATGTTTGCCATGTATATATACATTGTAATCCGCCCTGAGTCACCTGTGGGGTGAGAAGGGTAGAATATAAATACTTTCAATAAATAAATAAATAATCTAGTGGTAACTCTATGACCCAACCATTCAAGGGATAAGGGTTTCATTCCTGGGTGGTTTATGGTTGCAGAGATCTAGTGATTTCAAATCGGGGCCATCTATTTGACACATCCTATATTTTGGTTTCCGGACTATGTGGCCGTATTCTAGCAGCATTTTCTTCTGACATTTCACCTGCATCTGTGGCTGGCATTTTCAAAGGATCCTCTGAAGATGCCAGCCACATATGCAGGAGAAATGTCAGGAGAAAATGCTGCGAAAAAATGGCCACAAAGCCTGGAGACTACACAACACCCCATGAAAGCCTTCAACAGCACATCCTATATTTTCCCCTTCCATTCACAGACTCTTGACATCCCAGCCGCTGTTTTATGAAGGAGATATTATTTTATTCCCTTTATCCTACAAGCAGGGAAGTTTACTTCAACATTGCTTTAGTTGTAAAGAAAAGTGCTTGAACAGACTTTTTGTAAATATAGTTCATACGTTCATAATAAATGCCTATTGTAAGCCTTGTGGTAGCGACACTCTGATGGAGGGCTTGTGTATTATGCACTAGCCGTCCCCTGCCACGCGTTGCTGTGGCCCAGTCTATGTATATGTGTTTTGTGTGTGTATATGTATGTATATATTTGTGTATATGTGTGTTTGTGTATATATGTGGTTTTGCACATGCATTGTAAAAAATTTTTGTTTTTTGTTTTGGCCTTTTAAGTCTCTTCTGTTGTGTTTTTCAGTGTTTTTATGAGTGATGGTTTACTCATTGGCCTGAGAGGTGTAGTGTGTCCAAATTTGGTGTCAATTCATCCAGTGGTTTTTGAGTTATGTTAATCCCACAAACAAACATTACATTTTTGTTTATAAAATGTGAAAATCTAGTGGCATATTTAGCACCATTACCATTAAACCATAGCTCTAACATACTGGTTGTGTTTGGATATTTCTCCCAGACTTCATAAGTAATCATGTATGGAATTATAAAAGAAGCACTAAAGCCCTGCACTCTTTCCTCAGATCCTAGGTTGAAATTAAAATGTGCTGGTCACTTGAAAGTTGGCCACTGAACATGTATTTATCAATTCTTTTATTGCTGTGTCAATGAGATAAGAAAGAAAATAAGTCTTTGGGAAGACTGTAGGTTTCAATTGGAATTTTATGATCAATCCCTTTAACATAATTCCGTTAAGTCTCAATTTTTTTTCTATTATGCTAAAATGCATGTCAGAATATTATGCATTTCTAATTACTAATTAAAAACCAAGAGGACAAACTTTCTGACTCCAAAGTGCACACCATTTAAAAACCCTCTTTTGAAATGGGGATGTTATTAATATATGGATCTTGAAAGTGAAAAGTAATTTTGAGGCAAGCCATTTCCTAAAAGCCTAACATTTCAATGCATCATCAAGACTTTTTAAAAGCTTCACTGCAGAAGGCAATGAATTCTGATAAACTAAATTAATTTTTCCAATTATGAGAACTCTTCTGCCAAACGACAGCCAAGGAAAAAGCTTTTTCTTTCTTTTCTGTCAAGTAAAATCTGAAAAATGTGAATCATAATATCATTAATTTGAAAAACTGATATAGAGGATAACTTGAAAAAAGCTATTTTTTAAAAAAGGAGATGGGGTCTTCCTAGAGGATTGAAGCCAACCCCTTTTAGTTAAAACTGAAAACATGATCAATTAAAGTAATATATCTTCTTTACTAATGTCCCCGGTTAACTAAATCTAAGAGCTCAACATTATTATTCACAAACACATTGGAGAGGGCACTGCAAACTTTTCATTGTTCCTGCCACTATTAATTCCCTTGGGAACAGTTTGTTATTACCACCTTGTAAAAGAAAGACGTTTGTCATCCTGAAGATCCCTATATTAGCACCACAATGAGTAAAAGGGAACTACAGACAGTCCGCAAGTTACAGACAAGATAGGTTCTGTAGTTTTGTTTCTGAGTATGTATAATAGGATAGAGAAGTGATGTTGAGTTTTTTGGTGAACATCCCTAAAAACTATACAGGCAGTCCACAAGTTATGATTCTGAAGGTTTGTTCTTAAGGGGAATTTGTATGTAAGTCAAAACAGGTACATTTTCTAAGTGTTACTCCAGATACACACACAACAAACACATGTGTGTGTGTGTGTTTGATATTTGTATTGGTGATAAAACATCAGTGGAGACACGTTTTCTCCATGACAACTTTTCCAGAAGTGAATTTTTCTTCCTAGAGATAGATTTCTCTCACTTCCTGTTGTCTTATCCCCATTCTTAACTATGAGTAATTTGTAAGTCGAATTTATGTAACTTGGGGACTGCCTCTACATCAGTAGAATCATAGAAGTTGGAAGAGATCACATGAGCCATCCAATCCACCCCACTGCCATGCAGGAAAAGAACAACCAAAGTACCCTGATATTCTCCTGCAAAATGTAAGATAGTAACTATCATTTCATATACCCAATTTAGCAGCTGTTGGCTGGATTACTGCAATTACATCTTTAGCCAACTTTCTCACTGGAAGAAAAACCTATTGTTTGATACAATTACAGTTGGACCTCCGTATCCACAGGCTCTGCATCCACAGATACAACTAACTATTGCTTGAAACTATGCTGGCAGAGGGTTGGGAAGGGTGTTCCAAAAAACAGACTTTGATTTTGCTGCACATAAAACACTACACTGATGTATAGTCATATCTCACTTTAGCCTTCTGCCATTTCATAGACCATCAAGCTTTTCCTGGCACTCATTGGTGTCATTTGCCATTCTATATAGGGGATAACATATTACTAAAGGTAAAAGGTAAAGGTTTCCCATGACATTAAGTCTAGTTGACTCCAACTTGGGGGGAGGGTGCTCATCTCCCTCTCCAAGACCGGTATTGTCCATAGACACCTCCAAGATCATGTGACTGGCATGACTGCATGGAACGCTGTTACCTTCCCACAGAAGCGGTACCTATTGATCTACTCACATTTTCATATTTTTGAACTGCTAGGTTGGCAGAAGCTGGGCCTAAAAGTTGGACCTCACCCCGCTCCCTGGATTCAAACTTTTGGTCAGCAAGTTCAGCAGCTCAGTGTTTTAACCTGCTGCACCACCAAGGGGCCCCTAACGTATTACTACTATATAATGGGACATGAGGACCCACAATTGTTGGTATCCAAAATCTGTGGAACTAACCCCAGCAGATATTGGGACACACTGTACATTCTACTACGTTACATCACAATGTGATCTTCTTGGAGTCCAGTGATGTTCCTACACTATGTTATTGCAAAGAAACAATAGAATCAATATGTTCATTTTATTCTTGACAGATACTTGATTGCTCTCAACACCTTATCATAGCGGACACATTACCTTGGGGGGAGATTGCAGTAGTTTACTGGTGTTAGATGAATGCTGCTGTCGCAGAGCTCGTGGAATGAATTCAGGAGCCAGTGGATTCAATACATAGGTTTTCTTTAATTCCAAAGCTTCCAGCTGAGCTTTGATCTGGTCAAACGTGATGCCGTGAAGACTTTCATTATCATGGCACAGGGCGATAAACCTTTCCCAAAATTTCCTAAAAGAAGCCAGTACAAAATGGGATAGACTTGTTTGCTACATGCACATTTCCCAAATTTAGTCTCTGAATAGAAAATTATACGATATTTCAGTATATCCCTCTGAACTATTTTATTTGGAGAAAAAGAAGTGCTGATTGCAAAAAATATGAAATAAAATAAACATCAATATTCAGGCATTAGGACAGTTGCCTACAGTGTATTAATATAGCCATCAAGCTTAGTATCAGAACTCCAGAAAACTGCATATTTGGTTTGCACAACACCCCAGGCAGCTTCTTCATTCATACCACACTTACAATAGAATTGTAAGGAGAAAGAAGCGAAAATCTATCAGCTCTGCTATGCAATATGCAATATACACTATTTTTAAGTTTTGTTTAATCTAGCACATCAAAAGAAATTTGGCCTAGGCATATTATTGCTGCGGATTTTTTTATTTACAGTACTCTGACAGATTTTAGAACATTTATGAAAGCCAAATTTTATTGTTCTTTTTATCAGAGCAAGTGGAATTTCCCATATGAAAACAGCATCGTGCTAAAAACAACACACACGATCTGCAACTCAGAAATTGATGAAAACTGAGCATGACTTCGAAAGTATGGCCTTTATACAAGAAGTACAACTCAGTTGAATTGTTTATTTGAGTAAAAAGGACACAAGTGGAACAGATTCTGCTTTAAGCATTTTGCTTATAAAACATGAACCATCTGTTTTATGGTGGCTTTTGCTTACATATATTCCAATACACACATCCCCACACATACAACAAATATGGAATCACAGCATATTCCCATATTTTTCTATTTAGTATAAGAATGTTATGCTGAGGTATTAATGAATTCCCCCTGCCTGTGTTTTCGCACCAACTCAACATTGAGAATGATGACACAGGACAGGCTTCTCATCCACAGATTCAATATCCATGGTTTCACTTATCCACACTCCAATTTCTTTTCTCAACTCCAGTCATTTGTGGGTCTCTCTAGTTTCTCCATCACAATTCTGAGGTATGCCCTCAATCAAAATATAAGGTTTTGGATGTCCATGAGGGGTCTTGGAATGAATCCCCCAGGGATACAGGGGTTGTACTGTGATTTTAAACTTATATCACAATCAAATTTATCTATTTATTCTGTATCCCTTTTTTCTCCCAACGTTTCTAAAAGATAAACATGTAAAAGACACAAAATCATGCAGTTAAGCATCTCTTGATCACACCTTCATATTATGTGACCAAGAAAAAGTGTTCTTTGTCCTGCCTGCCACATAGGAAATTCTCATCCAGGACATGACATTTCGTGTACTTTAGAAGGAATGCCTACTCTATATCAACCCACATTCTTATTAAAAGGGTCATAACCATGAAAAACTACACTCAAAATATTCTAGATTACTGAAACCACGTCACATTTTTCACATTCTCATTTGCTTAAACCAAAACACAGATCA